AATGGGTCGGTGCGGTATCCGTGGGTGAATAGGCCTGTTAAAAGCGGGTTGGTCTGTGCGAGTAGGATGGCATGGAGTTGGGCGGTAGGGCGGGTGAGTGCGTCGGCGATGTTGGATGCGCCTTTTTTTGTACGTAACCGTGTAGTGGAAGTTGGACTCGAGGTGGTCCAGCCAGCGGATCTGTCGCGGATTGAGATTCGGTTGGGCGCGCAGGTACTGTAGTGGTCTGTTCGTACTGTCACGTCGGCGCCAGTCAGGTAACACCGCCAAACCTTGAACGCGTGCACGATCGCCAGCATCTCGCGGTCGTGTATCGGGTAGTTGCGCTCGGGCGGGTGCAGCTTGCGGGACTCGTACGCGATTGGCTGGAGGCCGTTCCCGAAATCCTGCAACAGTACTGCTCCCACAGCGATGTCACTTGCGTCGGTGACGAGCTCGAACGGTCGGTGCGGATCTGCGATGTGAAGCACGGGCGGCGAGCACAAAATTTTCTTGAGGGCCGAGAAGGCAGCTTGCTCTTTCTCCCCCCACGTGTACTCAACCCCCTTCCTCAGCAGGTCGGTCAGCGGGGCGGTCAGCTTCGCCATGTCGGGGACGAACCGACGCACGTAGTTGACGAACCCCAAAAAACTCTGCAGCTCAGTCAGATTCGTTGGCGCGTGCCAAGCCTGAATCGTCGCGATCTTCTTCGGGTCTATTTCCACTCCGTCAGCTGAAATAATGTGGCCTAAAAACTCCAGTCTGTCCTGTAGAAACTCACACTTTCGTCAGTAGGCAGTTCTCACTCAGGATTTTAAAAACTGCTTCGATATCCTGTAGGTGCTGTGCTCTGTCAGGGCTGTAAATCAGTATGTCATCTAAGTAGACGATTACGCACCTATCTAAAAGTAGGCGGAACACCTCGTTCATCGTCATTTGGAAGGTGGTGGGGGCGTCGGTCAGTCCGAAGGGCATGACGGTGTATTCGAAGGATCCGTAGCGTGTGCGAAATGCGGTCTTAGGGCAGTCGGGCGGATTGACGCGAATCTGGTGGTAACTGTCAGAGGTCCACTGGAGATCCCCGATGATCCTAGGGAAGGGTTACAGGCACGTCGGCCTGGGGGGTTATGGGCGCACTCACCCGCTACTTAAACAAGCCCTTTTATCCCAGTGGTTAGTGGCTGGGATTCTGACATGGTATCAGAGCGAAGGTCTCGGGTTCAATTCCCGGTGTGTGCACTTCGGGCATCCCAGTGCGGGGGGGTGTCAGAGGTCCACTGGAGATCCCCGATGATCCTAGGGAAGGGTTACATGCACGTTGGCCTGGGGGGTTATGGGCGCACTCACCCGCTACTTAAACAAGCCCTTTTATCCCAGTGGTTAGTGGCTGGGATTCTGACAGTAACCCCCTCTAAGGTCGATTCTCGAGAAAACCCGGGCTGTGCGTAGTTGATCGATCAGTTCGTCGGCTCGTGGGATGGGGTAACGTGATTTGATGGTAACCCTGTTCAGTGCCCTGTAGTCGATGCACATGCGAAACCCTCCGTCTTTTTTCGGTGTGAACAGTATCGGTGCGGCGAAGGGTGACGAACTAGGGTGAATGAACTCTTTCTCTAGCACGTAATCGAGCTGCTTCCTCAGTTCGTCCAGTTCGGGTTGGGTCAGTCGGAACTGTCGCTGTACTGTCGGCTGTGCTCCCGGTTCTAACTCTATCCTGTGGTCGTGCGGCCGCTGAGGTGGCAGTCCCGTCGGCAGATCATCCGAGAATATCCCACTGTACTGCTTCAGGTGTGCTGCCAAGTCATCCGGTACGTTGGCGAGCAGTTTCTGTAAATCCCCCCCTGGTCTGCTGCTTCGGCTTCCCGAATGTCAACCGCATACACGTCAGCTCCTGCCGCTACGGCAGGCTTCATTGTGATCGTGTTGACACGTACCGACGAAGACTCAGACGAGCCCCAGCGTGGTAAGGCGATGTTGTTACCGTTCACTCGCACGATGCAATCACCTTTCGTCCAGTCGTTTCGCGGATTGTGTCGTCGCAACCAATCCCGACCGAGTAAAATGTCGGTTCCGTCGATGGTCGTCGCGAGCATTTCCTGGCTAAACGTGAAGTTACCCCCGCATCGAATCCGAACCCGGTCTACGCGTTCCCGTATCGCTATCGGCGTGCCGTCAACCAGTCTTGCGTCGATCTCAGGTAAGCATTTGTCCAGTGGCAGTTTCAGCTTACTTGCTGTGGCAGTGTTGATGAGGCAGTGGATGGCTCCCTCGTCTACAAATATTTTAACTAAATCTGTGCCTATCTTTCCCACTTAGCAGTATGGGGCTGTCTACCGCAGTACCCTCCTTATTCGGTCGAGTCTGGTCGACTGCATGAACCGGCACAATCACTCGGTGAGGGTCGGTTGGGTCGGGCGAGCGGCGTGACCTGTCAGTAGAGGGCCCGTCTGCTACTGACTCCCAGCGTTTCCCTGCTGCTTGGTCTGTTTCTGCTGCTCAGCTTCCCCCTTTCCCTTAGCGTTTTCCGGGCATTCGCTCTTGCGGTGTCCGTTCCGACCGATTGCACGCGAAGCAGCGCCCTTTGAACGGTGCGGCAGCGGCATTCGCGGCGACGGCACGTATCGTAGCGCCCTCGTTCGTCCCACGAGACCGATGTCCCCAGTTGCTGCTACTGCCGTAGGACCCCGGTCTCGGTCGGCGGAAAAATTCGAGCTTCTCCGCCATAGCGAGAATCTCCTGAAAGTCGGTGACGCCGCGGAGATGGATTTTCTGAGCGATGTCGTGCTTCAGGCCGCCGATGTAGCGGTCGACGCGCTCGCTCTCATGCATGTAGCCCACTTGATCACATAGCGCCAGAAACCCGCTGGTGTAGTCTTGGACGGAACCGAGTTGGCGCCAAGTGCGGAGCTTCTGTCGCGCCGCGATCGAAGCCGCAATTGGCTCAAATCGAGCGCGCAGACCTGCGCACCTCGCATCTCACGTGTGATATTGGGGCACCTCCACGAAATACGACGGCGCCCAGGGTCCGGTTTGTCCTTCCCGTGTCGGTAGAGTCGCGTAGTCGTTCGGCTTCGTGACGATGACGCGCCACCAATCCATGGCGGGTCCTCGCAACAGCGAAACGGCGTAACGAATCTTCGCCGTATCCTCCGAGACGTAGTTGGCATAGAAGAAAACGTTCATAGTAAACAACCACGCCTGAACGGTAGGACCACCCCGTTGACTCGGGTCAAAACACGGCGGACGCTGCGGCTTCAGCGGCATCGGTGACGGCAGTTCCGAATCATGGGTCGGTGCCGAAATCGTGACACGAGGCTGAATTGGGGCCGCATTCGTCGCCTCGGGGTGTGTCGCGTCGTGGTCGTCGTCTTCGTCGTGGCGGACGACGCCATCACTGGCCGCGCTCGTGGGTCGCCCCACACTTCCGTGCTGTGATGCCTGTGGTGCGGGCGGTGCTAGAGTGCCAGGTGCTTGAGATTGTGCTTGTTGTGCCCGTGTGAGGTCGTTTTGCAGGGACGAGCGTTCTGCCGTCAGCGCCTCAATTTCCTCCGTATTTTCGTGGAGTTGTTGCAGCAGCTCGTTCAGACGGTCCTGCGTGAGGGTAGTGACGTCAATATGTTGGGCCATGGCGAAGGGCGTCGGCTCGGCTTAGTCTAGGCGCAGTCGTGGCTGCACGCGTTTACGAGAGAACGCGAGGACAGCGGCTCCTAGGGGCTAAGGTGCGTGAGTCCCTTCGAGTGAAAAATCAAAAGTTGATTTCCTGGGGTGCGGAGATGCGCGGTCCGAAAAGGAAAGAAGCTCTGATACCAAGTGTTACGGGTGCAATGGATCGAGGTAGCGAGGATTGCACTAAGTGTCAAACGAGTACAAAATGTGAGCGAAGGCATGAGCGAACATTTATACGCGAAACATGCAAACGGTAACGCGGTGCGTGCGAGCTAGCTAGTGCTACGCTGGCAGCGAGGCTCGGGCTAGTCCCGAAGCGTAGGCCGACACGGCCGGGCCAGCAGTGCGTGGTTTGGCAAAACAGTGCGCGCGAAGTTGGCGAAGCCCCGTTAGCAGTAACGGGCGATTAACGGCTGGTGCTGTACACGATCTAGCCGGACTCCGTAAGGAATGCCAAAAAAATTCCTTACAATTAGGCTGAGATGGGTAGGTACACTAATTTTAACGATAACATCCTACTACGACTTAAAAATGTGTGCTACTTGCGGGAACCCACGAACCTGCTCTCACGCACAATTTGGATCACCGAAGCACGCGGAGATTTTGAGTGTACTGTACACCCTCAGTCAGGCTTGGCCCCGCACATAACGGTTTCTGTGAGGGTTCTGCTGATTCACACCCACGTGAAAAAAGAGGTGGGCTTTTTCCCACCCTGTTGTTTAGAGTAGTATTATTTCTCCCACTCAATTGTGACGGGCCTTTCTTTTCCAGACACCCGGGACGTCAAGTCATCTGGACTAGTTTTCACTCATTGTGAAAGCACGCGTTCTGGTTTGTTTGTTTTTTTCCTTCAGTTGGCCTGAACAACGATTGAGTACAATCGCCACGACAAGGAGAAACATACCCCATGTTACAAAAATCTCAACACTCGGAATGCACCAACCGGTGTTGCTTGCAAACCCCCAACCAACTCTCTCTCGGCTCAGCTCTATCGCCCAAACTGGCATAACAACCCTGTTGTGTTTGGGGTGGGTGGGTGGGTGAGCTTCGACGGGTGGGTGGGTGGGTGGAAGCTTCGACCTTGCATTCTCCCTGGCTTTGCGCGCACACGCGGAACATGCAAGTCATGGATAGGACAACTTATTAGTGTCTGGGAGGGCATGGCGGAAAGAGCAACGTGCATTATTAGAGGGTTTTCGATAGCCACTCCTTTGGGATGCGGCCCGCGGAAATGTGTGGATCATGGGCGAAAAACGGCGGGGCGCGCGCGCGAATGCCGGAGTTTTACCGTGAATTCACGGCGTGGGAGTTTCCATGCTTTGCGCGCGCGTGCGCTGGCGTTGATGGTGGCGGAA